TCGCACCGTGGTCACCATTGCGGTAAGGGGCCCCTTGCTGGGGTGTAGGGCCACACCCAGAGAGAGGGCTGGCCGCTAGAGGCTGCCATCAGAGAGCAGCCACCACACTCACCTGGGCCTGGTAATCAGGAGAGGCCCCTGAAGTGATGGTGCAGAATCTGGAGGGCTTGCAGGGAACCTGGACCGCAGGAAATAGGATGGGTAAGGACTTCCCTCAGATCCCCCTCTCTTTCCCCAGGTTCCAAGGCCCGCCCCTATCCCAAGGTCCCAGGAGCTAGGCTAGGCTACCTACTCTATAGGTAGTGGGGGTTGGGCTGTGAGGTGATCTCTGAGTCTTGAAGCCCAGAGGTGAGAGCAGAGCTGAGGCTTGGTAAGGGGAGAGGGTATCATGAGTGGACAGAGTGCTTGGGGTCACAACCACCCCAGGGAAGGGCAGTGGCCACAGGGATGGGACATTCCATCCACATGCCTCCTCCCCTGAACTGCAGGAGGGACACCCTCAGCCGCCCCTCCCTTTACCACCCCCACCCCGCCACCCTGACCAGCACCCCCTGCCCCACCCAGCACCGCGTGCACACCATCCTGACTGCAGACCTGGTGATTGTCCTGAAACGCGGTGCCATCCTTGAGTTCGACAAGCCAGAGAAGCTGCTCAGCCGGAAGGACAGTGTCTTTGCCTCCTTTGTCCGTGCGGACAAGTGAGCCCCTGGAGCCCAAGTGCCACCCCGCGCCCCAGCCTCCCCCACACCGCTTTCTAACTATAAATCACTTGTAAATAAAGAGATTGATTGTTTCCTACTGGAGGCCTCAGGTCTGGTGGGCAGGGACAGGGTGGCCTGTAGGTCCGGTGGACATGAGTCTGTATGAGTGTGGCCAGAAGTGCATTTTCTTATCTGTGAAATGAGGTTTGCAGTAGTCTGCTCAGGCATAATAAAATTGCGGCCAAAGAGACGTAAACAGAAATGTCCTCTGACAGATCTGGAGGCTGGAAGTCCAAGATCAAGGTGTCATAGGTTTGGTTTCTCCTAAGGACCTAATTACCTCCTTACAGGCCTTATCTCCAAATACTATCATGGTGGGGGACATCAACAGGAATTTAGGGCTCTAACAAATAGATGGGGGGGGCAGACACAATTCAGTCTGTAACAAGGGTTATCACATTTTTTGTGATTATCTCATTAGACAAAATAGCCCCCTTCCTTCTCACTATATTTCTTGGATTAAACTTGTGGGGTACCCTGGATTAGTACCACTTCCATGACAAATGACAGGAACCCAACTCAAAGGGGCTTAACTAAAAACTGGAATTTATTACCCTTTGTGATGGAGAAGGTCAGGAGGTGTACTACTTCAGGCATGGCTGGATCCAGTCGTCTGACCACAAGCATGTGTTTCCATTTCTGGGTTCTTTCTTCCCCTCCCTCCATGATGACAAATGGCCACTAGCCCCTCCAGCTTATACCCTACCACACTGAAAAAGAGTCCCAGCAAAATTCTTGGGAGCAAATTTCAATGGACCAAGTTAGGTCATACCCCTACCTCTACCCAAGCACTGTGGTCAGAGGGATGGGCTACGCTGACTGGCTAGGCCCGGATCACATGTCCCCATCTGTGGCACCCAGGGAGAGGCATTCAGAATGGAAGAAGGGTGGTCCTTCAGAGGGAAGCACGATGCATATACCACAAGTCACCCAGGTAGTGTCTGGAGATGCTGAGACCCAGACACTGGGGAGATCAAAACAACAGATACCCTTAGATTCCATCAGCATCGTGAAGCAGGAATGCATAGCTCCCCGAGCCCAGAAATGGCAGGTGCTCATTTACATATCACGTTTTAATCATTTTCACATTGACTCCAGTACTGGCTATCCCAGCTCTAGGGTGCAGACCCAGGAGTCTTGGGACTGTGTCCCTCTCAGCTGCTATGGGAGCGATGTAAGGACAACCCTCCAGTCACTGGAGAGAGGCCCAACACAGACCTTTTGGATATCCCAAGAGCCAGAGGGGATCAGGAAGTGAGAGTTCTGTAAGACCTGGTAGGCTGTCTAGGGGAGGCAAGATGTGAGTTGGGCATGAGAGAAGTGGGAATGAGACAGGCAGAGTTAGAGAAAATGGCCCATGGGGCGGGGGGGTGGGGGCATAGGATCATAGGGCCTTAAATGCCAGGATAAGGAGTCTGGGATAAGCCTATGAACAAAGGGGAAGTGGAAAAGGTTTCTGACAAATTCAGTGTTTGGGGGAGTTGAATATAAGAAGGTAAGGATGGAGGAGGGCTGGAGGCTGAGCTCTCTGGGTAAGGGGCTCACCCTCCTAGAAAGGGCAGAGCAGGTAATAGCTGAGGCCTCAGGACCACACTGTGAGGCAGGGCCTTGCCTTTCCAGCTCTAAGATGTCTCTAGGGGCCACCCTCTCTACTGAAGGGCCTCCTAAGAGCAGAGCCTAGGAGAGGAGAAGATTCCTAACCCCACCCCCACCTTGTGCCCACTACACCCCACGGGATTGAAGGGAAGTAGCAGGGATAGGGCAATGTCCATACTGAAGTCTTGCAGAGATGCCCAAGGCCATTCTGGCCCAAACCTCTCTATAGTATCCCTGATGGCCTGCCAACTTTGACTTGGATACCCCAAAGATACGGGTCATCTCTGGTTATTAGAACTGACTCTTTCATATGTGAAATCACAACCTGCCTCCGTTCCACTCAGTGTCTGTGCTGGTTCTATACTTTGGGCCACATAAAACTATTAGTTCACCCTCCTTGGACTCCTGGGGTTTCTGCACTAGTGCCCAAACTCCATAGGGGGCTCTCTAAGGCTCCTTTTCCGGTGGCTGAACAGATGTAGTTGCCTCAGAGTTTTCCTGTGTAACCTTGTCTCCTTGAACTCTCCCACTCTGATCATCCTATTCTCCCCTCCCCACTCTAGGGACTGCATCTCTGTTAATACAGCCCAAGCTCACACTTACCCTGAGTAACAGTGTTGACTCTGCCTACAGATGAGTATGAGACAGAAAGGAAAACTCAATATGAAAATCATATCTGCCCCACTGTGGCCCATATCCCCACTGTCCCTATCTTGGGGCCCTGCCTCATGCTCCCACTCCAACAAATGAACACACATGGGTCAGAGCTACATAAATATCTGAGCCTCAGAGAGGGGATGGGGCCATTACTGTCCCAACAACAGAGACCCAGCAGGTTTTCTCTCCCAGCTGAGAACTGGGGCCCAAGCCACAGGGCAACCCTAGACTGATGCCTGCAGTATCAGTATCATGAGCACCACTCATGTTCAGGTCAAGAGCTCGAGTCCCCCAGTTCCCCAAGCCAACCCTAATACAGCCCCTCAGACCCACATTCCTCCCATTACCTAAGGTTTAAGAGACCAGGCGGCAGGTGTAAGGAGGTGCAAAGCAAGTGTCCGTAGCTCAAACTCTCTTTAAAATACCGGGGCGTAGTTGTGGAATGATTAAGAAGATGCAACCACCCAGACTTCTGGGCTTTTGCAAATCTGTGTTCCGACAGTGGCTAGTTAAGATCCATTATTTTCTGGGGAGGGGGTCCGTGGCTTTCAAATTCTCAAAGGATCTACGACTCAGAAGAGATTAACAGCATCCCCAAAGAGAAGAAGCAGTCAGTTGAGGAATCTTCAGGCCACCTAACCTCTTGCTGTCACCGGTTTGGTGACGCAGCTCCTCAGAGCCTCCTCTCGCTGGGAACCTGAAAAGCCCAATGCTGCACGAGAGGTGCATACTGGCCCCCCTGAGAATGGGAAATTGGAGGAGGAAAGGCAAGCCAACAGGGGCTGCAGTCCTCAGACTGAAAGGGCGGGTCGCGGCGCCCCTCCCTGTCCCCGCGTGGGCAGGAGGAACCTCTTTTTGTCCCTCTGATTGGGCAAACCCTCCAGGCCACACAGAATCTGGAACAGGAAGGCGGGGCGTGGGGGGGGTGTGTGAATGACAAGGGGCGGGGCTTGAGTCCGTGCCCGCCCCTCCTCCAGCTCAGGAATAGGTCGGGCTCCCCCTGGCGGCTCCGGTCCCACACTCCATTCCTCCAGCGCCCCCGCCCTCAATCTTCTGCCCCCATCTAGTACAGGTCGGTCTCAGCGGACCAACGGACAGACAGGCGGACGGACGCACGAACGAAAGGACGACCCGCTGAGAAGCGGGCAGCAGTGGGGGCGGGGAGGCCACGGCTGCGGCTTGAGGAGCAGGAGCAGGTGCCGCGGCGACAAGCGGGCGGGGCAGGACGGAGCTGAGCGCCGGGCGGGGGCGCGGCGCCGGCTTGCGTTGGCCGGCGAGGAGCCGAGAGGCCGCGACCGTGAGTGAGCCCGGCCAGGTTGCGCTGTGGGCGAGGGGATCTGGAGTGGAGTCGGGTGGAGTGGTGACTCTGGAGGGCGCAGGATCCCAAGGAGACAGAAAGGACAGAGCTGGAGGGGGATCCGGCCGGCCGCGGGGGCGCTAAGGAGGGTGGGGTAGAAAAGGGGCATACCTGGAGGCGAGACCGGGGGTCGTCAGAAAACGAAGCTGGAGCTTGGAAGGGGGCCCGGGAGCAGAAGTGAGTGAGGCGGGAGAAACGGTGGGGGTTGTGTGAGGTCTGGCGAGTTGGGAAGATCCAGAGGTGCTAAGTTCCAAGGTAGAGGAGGTGGGTTGAGAAGGAAACCCAGGTGGAGAGAAGGAGCCTCAGCGGGAGGCCCAGGGAAAGTACGCGGTGGGAGAGAGTTGAGCTGAGATTCAGGCGAGGTGGGGAGCAGGCCCAGGCCGGGTAGGAGGCTCACTAGGCAATGGGCAGGCTGGCCGAGGTGTGAGGCTGGTTTAAAGAGGCAGAGGCCAGTCGGAGGTGAGAAGGAGTCTGGTTGAGGAGGCATCTGAGAAGTGAGGCCAGCACAGACTGAGGGTGGTCCCGCAGTGGAAGGGCTCTCCGGGGAGGAAACCCCACCGTGAGGCCCAAGGCTTGGTCAGGGGAGCGCCCCCCATGGGGGAAGCCTCTCCCCGGTGGTTGTTGGAGCCATGCTGTCCCGAAAAGGCATCATCCCTGAGGAGTATGTGCTGACGCGGCTAGCAGAGGACCCCACGGAGCCGCGGTACCGAGCCCGAGAGCGGAGGGCCCGCTTCGTGTCTAAGAACGGCAATTGCAACGTAGCCCACAAGAACATCCGAGAGCAGGGCCGATTCCTGCAGGACGTATTCACCACGCTGGTGGACCTCAAGTGGCCACACACGCTGCTTATCTTTACCATGTCCTTCCTGTGCAGCTGGCTGCTCTTTGCCATGGTCTGGTGGCTCATTGCCTTCGCTCACGGTGACCTGGCCCCTGACGAGGGCACTGTTGTGCCCTGTGTCACCAGCATCCACTCTTTTTCCTCTGCCTTCCTTTTCTCCATTGAGGTCCAGGTGACCATTGGTTTTGGCGGGCGCATGGTGACCGAGGAGTGCCCGCTGGCCATCTTGATCCTCATTGTGCAGAACATTGTGGGGCTCATGATCAATGCCATCATGCTGGGCTGCATCTTCATGAAGACGGCCCAGGCCCATCGGCGGGCCGAGACCCTCATCTTCAGCAAGCACGCTGTCATCGCGGTGCGCCACGGCCGCCTCTGCTTCATGCTGCGCGTGGGTGACCTCCGCAAGAGCATGATCATCAGTGCCACCATCCACATGCAGGTGGTGCGCAAGACCACCAGCCCCGAGGGCGAAGTGGTGCCCCTCCACCAGGTGGACATCCCCATGGAGAACGGTGTGGGTGGCAACAGCATCTTCCTCGTGGCTCCTCTCATCATCTACCACGTCATTGACGCCAACAGCCCACTCTACGACCTGGCGCCCACTGACCTGCACCACCACCAAGACCTCGAGATCATTGTTATTTTGGAAGGTGTGGTGGAGACCACAGGCATCACCACCCAGGCCCGCACCTCCTACTTGGCCGACGAGATCCTCTGGGGCCAGCGCTTTGTACCCATCGTGGCCGAGGAGGATGGTCGCTACTCCGTGGACTATTCCAAATTTGGCAACACCATCAAAGTGCCCACGCCGCTCTGCACGGCCCGCCAGCTTGATGAGGACCGCAGTCTGCTGGACGCCCTGACCCTCGCCTCCGCCCGTGGCCCCCTGCGCAAGCGCAGCGTGGCTGTGGCCAAGACCAAACCCAAGTTCAGCATCTCTCCGGATTCCCTATCCTGAGCCCTCGTCGCTCGGGCCCCCACACTGCTTGTGTGCACAGAGGCCGTGTGTATGGTATGTAGGGTGGGCGTGGTGTGGGCCCCTTGCCAGGCCAGGTCCTGGTGTGAGGCTGGGCCCTCTTCAGCTCAGCCTCCCCCCTGCTGTTAGCCCATGGTGTTACAAGGCACTTGTCACTACTCTATTTCTGGCCTCAGAGGAAGCCTGTGCTGGGTTATTTTTGTCTCTGCTCCTCCCCAGCTCGGGACTGGCTCACTCCCCCCCCACCCCTCTCCCCAGGCTGGGGAAGCTGTGGGAAGTGTTGGACCCTAAAGTTGGGTCTCCCGCCAGTTCTGCCTCCCCATGATCAACTGACCGCAGGCTGGGCAGGGGAGGAACAGTCCCCAGATTGGCAACCTACTGCTCTGTTTTGGTGACCCCAAGAGATGACCTGTCACTCTTGGTCCCTGAAGAAGTGATAGCCTAATGGGTGGGCCCTGCCAGCTGGGGAGAGCAATCAATGAAGGAGTGTATTCCAGCTGAAGGATTAGAGGTGTGGAACCGACACAGACAGGGAAGGCTGAGATTGATCAGACTCCCCTTCCTGGGGCGGACTCAGGTGAGGAGGAAGTGGTGTGAGGACACGCAGCTCTGCTGAACCTTGGTCAGGCACAGGAAAGAGGAGATGGGCCCCTCTGCCCCTGCCCTGTGCCCTGACAGCAAGGCTTCTCTGGGGAGGGGCTGCTGAGCCTGCCTGCTCCCACTCTGTCTCTGCCCCAGGAGGCTGGGATGGATTGGTGCAGACACTGGCATGTTAAGCAGAAAAAGGCTGAGGAGAGAGGTCGAGGGCCCACATACAGACTGAACTCTGGCTCCCCACCGGTGGCTGTCACTCACTATCTGTCCAGAGGGGGCTGTGAAGGGTCTTTGGGTCACTAGAAAAGGAGATGTTGGAAAGCTCAGGCTGCCGGGGGTGAATGAGACCTCTGACGCAAAGAGGCCTTTGGTCCTTAGGGGCTTGACCCCAGACAGGGCTCCTGGAGCAGAGCTACATACACCTGCTGGGGATTCTGCCTTCTGTGCTGTCCATAAAACCTCCCTAAACGCTGGGCAGTTCTTGCTGGGGAGGGAGGGGGCACACTGGTGGACAGGACAGCACACTGCTGGCCCACTTTCCAAAAGTGCCACAGATCCTAGCCAGGCGGCCAGAAAAAGGACCTGAGGCTGACCCTTAGCACCCAGTTCAGAGAGACTTTAAGCTTTCTGCCTCAGCCCGCCCAGCCCTGCCAGCCTGTCTGGCCATCTCAGTTCTGGAGCACCTACCAGGCTTAGAGCCCTTGGCTTGACCTCCACTCCTGGGATTTGCTGGAAGGTGGGTGCTCAGGGAAGAGGTGGGCCCATCATATGCATGACTGTATGGGGATATTGCCGGTTTGGTTCCAGACCACCACAGAACAGATACCGCGATAAAGAGAGTCAAATGAATGTTTTGGGGTTTCCCGCCACATATAAAAGTTATGTTTACACTATACTGTAGTCTGTTAAGTCTAAAAGAAACAATGTCTAAATTATGTCTAAAAGAAACAATGTATGTACCTTAATTAAAAAACACTTTATTGCTAATAAGTGTTACTGATCATCTGAGCCTTCAGTGAGTCATAATCTTTTTGCTGGAGGGTCTTGTCTTTTTTTTTTTTTGGAGGGTCTTGTCTTGATGTGGATGACTGCTGACCAGTCAGGGTGGTGGCTGCGGAAGGTTGGGGGGGCTGTGGCAATTTATTTTTAAATTAGACAGTAATGAAGTTTACCACATCAATCAACTCTTCCTTTCACGAATGAAAGAGATTGTGACATCCCCAAGTCTGTGGCTACTTGAGGTCAGGGACTATATCTGATTCAGCACTGTGCCTGGCACTGAGTAAGTGCTAAGTGAATGAATGAATGAACGAATGAATGACGATAGGACAATAAGCCAGCATCACTGTTGCTGTTTGAGTTCTGCAGTGGGCTTTAGCGGGATCAGTGAGAGCTGGGCCCGGGCTACTCCAGAGGCAGGGCTGAAGAGCCAGGAAGTTGCTGCTGCTGGTCCAAGCTCTAAGCTGCCCCATCCTGCACCCACACAGTCCCCAGACGTTAACCAGTTTGTGGTTTAGGAGGAAGGAGAAGCTACTCAGAGTCAGCCCAGAGTTCTGGAGACAGTGCCCGGTTTCTGGGACTCAGCTTGGCTGTCCATAAGACCAGGAGAGGGGCCAGACTCCCTTAATGAAAAGCTGCTCAGCAGCAGCTTTCTTGGGACCCCATTCAAAGTAACCTTCCTCCACCCCCTCCACGGTAAATGGCTGGTGACCGTTAACCCAGAGAATTGAGGGCTCAGCGCCACCTGCTGGCCACAGTATGCTGGCTACTGGATCAGAAAATCAGAGCCACTGATCCCAGTCTTTCCACCCCTAAGAGAGACCTCCTGGCTTTAAGGCTTAGCTCGGGGAGGAACCGGAAAGTTCCAGGCATGGAGGGAGCTGCTGAGCTCAAAAGGGAAGGGAAGCCAAGCTACCATAGTCCTAGAGTGAAACTGAATTCCTGGTCTGGAAAAACTAGCCCACTAGCCATGCTGGAAACCTGCCCAAGACTGACACCGGGACCTGACAGCCTTTCTGCTGGAGAGGACACACCCAGCTTTTATAAGACCCACTTTCTCTCCCCAGGTGGCATCCTTCCAGCTCCATCCTAAACTTGAGATCCTCCCCAACATCCTTCCCTAGGGGTAGTGAGGAGTAGAGTAGCCCCTGGCTCCCCACAGCTCTCTGAGCTCACCTCTGAGGTCTCCCCAGTTTCAGGTATCAGACACCCTATGTTGTGTGAAGACACAAATTCTGCATGTCAAAGTTATGTTCACCCCAGATAAGGGCAGGTCTAAAGCACAACAGATCTGTTCCAGCTTGAAAGGAGCTGGGAAAAAGCAGAGTGATGGGGTTAAAGTCAATTGGGTTCCAGAGAGTGGATTTGTTGCACTTATTGGCATCCTCTTTGCCATGTCCACCTGCCTGGGGCATCATATATACCTTCATGGAAAGGGAAGAAGGTGTTACCTCCACGCTCCCCTGTTTCCACTCTGGGAAAGCCCCACTCTGGATTGGTATGAAAGGCAGAGCGCCTAGACTGGCCAGCTTGGGTGCAAGGAGTGCGAACTTCTGCCTTTCCCTTGAACTTGTGTCCTTCCAGGCACTAATACAAATGAGTGGAACAGGTGATAAAAGTACTAGGCATCTGTGTAATTTATGTCCTTCATTGGGAGAAGCAATAATGTACAGGAGTACGGATCAACAGCACACAAAGCCTTCCTTAGCTTTCATGAGTCACGTGCCTCTACTTCATGAAAGTACCGTTCTTTGCAGCACAAAGTCCCAAACTCCTCATCCCCAGACCGTCGGCACTCAAGGTGAAGCAAAACAGACCACGTAGCCCTGCCTCTGTGTATTCTTCTTTACGTCATTTGATCAAGTCCAGTTTTTCTCATGACACCATCATTGTTGGGGAAGGGAAGTTAGTCCCGAGAGAAATAAATGCAATACAGTTCTGATTGAGATTTTCATTTGTTGTCAAATTCCTACTATGTCCTTGATCTCCCGTACACCTTGGAAGTAGAATGAAAATCATGCCATAGTTCTGCCTCTTTTGTGCCTCTTCAGGTCTTAAAAGGTCTGACCAGCACACTCATTTCTGTGCCTAATAACTCCTTAATGCACTTTTTTTTCTACATCATAGATTCCCTTTCAATCATTAATATCCATTCTACAATCCCCTACATTTTACATCTGATGTTTTATCTCCCTATACAAAGATCCCATTTGTCATTTTCCCATATAATTTTATTTTTCCCTTATATTACTTTATTACTCTATTATAATCTCTATAAGACTATTATACTTTCTTTTAAAATCTCAACTGCCTTGCTACTTTTTCCAAAGGGTGTCATTATTTTTGATTCCTCTATTTCAATGACTGTGGACTGCTTTGGGCTGCGTCTTTTGTTCCACAGTCCTAAATGTTACCCTGTTCTTCCTTCCAGATCTCTACTTCCTGAGTTTCATTGGCTCCTCTAAAGATACAGTCCTGAAATAGGCACCAATTGAACCGATGCCGCAATCCCCAGTACCGCCACTAGAGGCCACTCTAAACCACCCTCAGGTAGGAGCTCAGCGATGGGGATTTCTACCTCTAGTCAGTCAGCCCTGGAAGCCAAGAGTCTTCAATGTCAGTTAAGCCCATGAATGTGGCCCCCCACACCCTCCTGAGTGACCTAAAAGCTGCGTTTAGGGTCATTTCTTTGACTTTCAGTAAAGATGTGAACAGGGATTCTCTGCCCCACAAAGATCCTGAAATACAACTGCACATTCCCTGATAACTACATTCAGAACCACAATGTACCTTACCCATGACTAACACCTGGCCTGAGACTCCCCACAGCCTTGTCAACCTCTGTCCTGAATGAGGTGCCCGTGCACAGATCCAATTAGGAATAGCATCACCCACCTTGGTTCAGTTACAGAAAATGAGGAAATGATTAAACACGCCAACCAACAGAACTGTCCCCTAAGAACAGACAAGAACAGTATAGAGTGAGCCTATCCTCTAGACGGAAGGATCCAGCTTATCTTTCACACCCCAACCCCACCCTGGATCTTCCTTGGAAGTATGGATCAAAAATCCAAGCTCTACTCTTCACTAGCCATGAGAATGAATAACTCAAAGAATAACTCAGAGATATTAAGTTAAAAGTGCAGCTGCATATTTATTCTTTTTTTTTTTTTTAGATTTTATTTATTTTTTTTAAGATTTTTTTTTTTTTTATTTGACCGACGGAGATCACAAGTAGGCAGAGAAGCAGGCAGAGAGAGAGGAGGAAGCAGGCTCCCTGCTGAGCAGAGAGCCCAATGCGGGGCTCCATCCCAGGACCCTGGGATCATGACCTGAGCAGAAGGCAGAGGCTTTAACCCACTGAGCCACCCAGGCGCCCCATACATTTATTCTTCTATTAGCATGAATAGGTGGATCTCATTAAATTAAGAAGTAGAATGTGAAAGGAAACAGTTCACAGTCTAGAAATAGTAAGTGTAACTTTGGAGGGAGGGGTATAATTGACATACAGTAGATCAGTTTCAGGTGTATAACATGATCCAGTAGTTGTATATATTCCAAAATATCACCACGATAAATCTAGTTAACATCTGTCACTATACATAGTTATAAAAATATTTTCTTCTCAAAAGTTTTTCGAAACTTTTAAAAGATTTACTCTTTAAAAAGTAACTAAAAAAGTAATTTGAAAGTAACTTTCAAATATGCATTACAGTACTATTAACTATAGGCACCATGGTGTACGTTACATCCCCACAATTTATGACCAAAAGTTTGCACCTTTTGACCACCTTCACCAATTTCATCCACCCCACTCCATTCCTGGCACCCACCCTTGTGCTCTCTGTTATCTGTGAGCTTGGGTTTTTGTTTTTGTTTTGATCTCGCCATATGTGAGATCATATGGTATTTGTCTTTCTCTGTCTGACTTATTTAATTTAGTATTATACCTTCAAGTTCCATCTGTATTGGTCCAAATGACAAGGTTTCATTCTTTTTTTATGGATGAATAAAACTTCATTTTATATATATATATGTATATATATATATATACATATATATATATATCTCACATTTTCTTTATCCATTCATCCATCAGTAACACTTGTTTCCATATCTCGGTTATTGTAAATAATGCTTCGGTGAACATAGGGGAGTATATATCTTTTAGAGTTAGTGTTTTCACTTTTTTCAGGTAAATACCCAAAAGTCGAATTACTGGATCACATGGTAGTTCTATTTTTAATTTCTTGAGGAACTTCCATTCTGTTTTCCATAGTAGCTACCAGCAATTTACATTCCAGTCAATATAGTGCACTAGGGCTCCTTTTTCTCCACATCCTTGCCAACACCTATTGTTTCCTGTCTTTTTGATACAAGCCATTCTAACAGGTGTGAAGTAGTAGCTAATTGTGGTTTTGATTTCCCTGATGAGTGGTGATATTGAGCACCTTTTCATGTGTCTGTTGGCTGTCTGTATGTCTTCTTTGGAAAGCACTGCTTTCTTTTTCTTGGATAAGCTGATTGGCAGGAGGCCACCAAGAAAGCAGCTTGAATAGTCTGTTCTTGAGCAAGTTACCTAAGGCATTGGGAAAAGTAATTTCGGTTACAGATGCATTCACTGAGAAACCTTGTTGTTACTGCTGTTTCTGTGTAAGAATTTCCAATGTTCTTCCAGTGGTTCCGCCATCGGAATAAGCCACAAATACATCATAATGAAAGCACCTCATTATAGTTCTTTAGTCCTTCTTGTGTCAATTTGAGTGTTCTGAGAACAAGCTTTCAAGACGGAGAATAAGGGATATCTTCGGCGTAGCACCTGTAAAAGATAAAGGAGAAAGGGCACCTGAGTATGCAGGCAAAGCCTTTAGACCACGATACAGGTGTAATATCTGTAAAGGGAGGAAAAAGGAAGGACTGGGTAGCAAGAGCCCCAGACTCCAGTGTAAGTCTGAGAAAGTCTCAGGGGAGCTACAAAGACACCTGCATTTCTCAGCTCTTTTCTGGGGCTGTCCAGGGAAAGCATGGCCTCGGCTCTAATACTGAGGCAGGTCCCTGACAGGCCACAGCTAGAGCATGCTGGCTGGGTATGCTCCAGAGCAGGCTCTCTCTCTAAAGGGTCTCAGCAGCACTTTTCCAGAGCAACCATACTTTCTAGTCAAAACTCAACTGCCTGAGGAACTGTATCAGTTAGATTTTGCTGTGTAAAACCCAGCCTAAAACACAGTGTGGCTTTGAAAAAGAAAAAAAAATGTATTTCTCATGCACTGTGAGTTGGCTCTGTTGAGTGGGAGTTGTGGGCCATCATGTGATCTAGACTGGCCTCTCCAGCACAACTAGTGCTGGTGTCACTCGGCCCCCCAACAGACAGAACTTGGATGCATTCTCCTCTTATTAATATCAGAAGCACCAAAGAAAGCAAGTGGAAACACACAAGTTCTCTTGAGACCTAGATTTAGAACTGGTGCTCTTTCACATTGGCCTCATTCTGCGAACCAAAGCAAGCCACAGGGTTGAGCCCCAAGTTCAGGGGCAGCCCATCACTGGAGGACACTACAAAATTACCTAGCAAAGGACATGGGTGTGAGTAAGGGTGAAGGCTTAGAGCCAAGACTGCAAACCACCACAGAATCCAGGCTAATCACAACGGCTTGAGTCTCTTTTTCAAAAAATATCACTGCCAAATGTGAGGTTATCATGACAGCCGCTGGATTATCAGAAGCCAGAGGAAGGCAAGAAATAGAACATTCACAAGTATCGCAAGAACATTTGAAAAACACTTTTATCTAGTTGTCTCATTGCCCTAGGTCCCATCAGAAGAATAAATCCCATGAATCGGTTGAACTTTTAAATAAACAAATAGCCTTTTTTCTTAATTAACCGATTATTGTCCTTTCCCTAAGGCATTTATAATGAGGTGTATTAGCTACTGCACAGGTTCTGCCTTGGCAGGTCAATAAATAACTGAGGGCAGTTTGTTAGGTAGAACAATTTTTTTTTTTAAAGATTTTATTTATTTATTTGACAGACAGAGATCACAAGGAGGCAGAGAGGCAGGCAGAGAGAGAGGGGGAAGCAGGCTCTCCAATGAGCAGAGAGCCCGATGCAGGGCTCGATCCCAGGACCCTGAGATCATGACCTGAGCCGAAGGCAGAGGCTTAACCCACTGAGCCACCCAGGCGCCCCTAGGTGGAACAATTTTAACCAACATGCTTACACTCGTCTCTCAGGCCTCTACAGTTTGAGTTGTTTTGTTTGCTATTTGGAGAATAGTGAGGGATAAACATGTTTGAAAACGTGTTTTAGTTTGGAAACACTTAGGGAGGGTCAGAAATCCCTGGTTAAACCAATGAAATCTGTTGATAAGTTATCCCATTGAGCTATTGACAAAATATGAGCACCTGGCAGAAGGATTTCATACATCTGAGCCACAGTATCTGCATGTGAGAACAGCAGAGCAGCCCATATGTGGTTCAAAAACCTGGTCTGAACCGATAAGGTCAAGTCTGAGACACAGTGAAACAGGTCTATCAGGAGGACACAGAGGGGATTTGTGCTGCATCTTCCCAGAGTCATAAACCACCACATGGAGATCAGAAAAGGAAAAGCCACACACCGGGCACTTGGGTGGCTTAGTCTGTTAAACATCTGCCTTTGGCTTGAGTCAGGATCTCGAGATCCTGGGATTGAGCCCCGCATCAGACTCTCTGCTCAGCAGGGAATCTGCTTCTCCACCTGCTTGTGTTCTCTCTCCAATAAATAAAATCTTTAAAAAACAAAAAGAAAGAAAGAGAAAGCCACCCACCACAAACACTCACCACACTTAGAATACCCCCATATCAATCCTAAGAACTCCTTGACAGCGTCCCCTGCCAATAATCTCTGAACTCCCAAAGCCAACTCCAAAACATAGGGCTAAACTTTACTTTGGAACCACTTACCTGTTTCCAAAAAATAAATAAAATCAGTACAATTACGAAGGTTATTCCAACACAGAGTAAAATGTATTTCAGAGTACAAGCTGTCTTCTCAGATTCTGCAGAGAGAAAGAGGAAAATAACATTAAGGAAAAAACCTGGCCAGAGCCAGAGGCCATACAACCACTGCTAGGCTTTGTGGTTGTATGTCATTTTCCTGGTTCCTGTGACCCTCTGCCACATGTCACCCTCCTTGGCACCCTCCATTCCCATCACACATACCTCACCATCAAACAGCGTGTTCAGCACTTGCCAGAAGATGCTGGAATATCAAACATCACATACCACTCACACATGCCATGCGATGTGTAAAGCTTCCAAACTACTACACCATCTTGCTGCAATACAGTGAATATGCGTGTCCCTCAAAATTCATACACTGCAATCCTAGTGCCCAATGTGATGGTATTAGGAGACAGGGTTGGGGGAGGTGCTTAGGTCAGGAGCGTGGAGCCCTTGTGAATGTATTTAGTGCCCTTATACTAGAGGCCCCAAAGAGATCCCTCATTCCTTCTACCATGTGAGCATACAATAAGAAGTCTGCAGCCCAGAAGAGGGTCCTCACCCAACCATGCTGGCACAATGATCACAAACTTTCAGCCTCCAGAACTGTGAAAGATAAAGTTCTGTTGTTTTTAAGCCACCCAATCTATGGCAAATTGTTACAGCAGTCTGAATGGACTAAAAACATACATATAACCCAGACAAACCCCCTCATACCATACACTCAAAGCATATTTCAATTTCATACTCCCCATGCCCCACACATACTCTTCACATATCTCTTCACACACACACAACCACCCACACACATTCTTAGCCCTTACTTCTAAGAACAATTCCTCTCTCCCTCTAGGACCATCCTGGATACCCAGACTACATCCCCCAGAAGCCTGGTCAGACCCTGCCTTCTTCACCCCTCTTAGCTCCAGGCAGATGCAGTAGACCAGCAGGGTCATACCCACCCAGGACCATACCAATGACCTTGGAAGCCAAGATATGAGCTCCATGGACCTCATCCCACCAGCAGGAGGGATTCTGTAGTGACCTGTAGATCTTGAGCTAAGGATCCCATGTCCCTGGGGAAAGTCCTGGGCATCGGCAGGACCATCCTACTATGGCTCCCCATCTTGGGCACAACCATGGGTTTAGAGACAGAACTATGGATTTAGCCTCTACCAGCCATCAGTTTGCAGTGATCTGGGGCCTGAGCAGAAGACTTGCTGGCAGGGTGGAGTCCCTGGCCCCTGATAGACTGTTATCTTGGATAGGATCCTGTCCCCTCCCTCCTTATTGCTAGCAAGTTTCACACTCCAAGCCATATAGACCACCCAGATGACTTAAATTGCCATGAACTGAGAGTAGCCCTGTTTCCATCTAAGGACTATTGTCACCACTTTCCATCAACCAGACCATCTGCCCTGCCTTAAAGACCTAATCTGTACAGCTGACTCTGGGGCTAAGTTATGCCAGACCAAACTTTCTATCTTTCCCACTGTCTCCTGTCTTCCCCAAGACTGCCTGGGAACAAAAATTTAGGTTATCTGACCTCAAGGTAAAGAGCAGGAGAAATGTTCAGGAGGCTTCTTACCTATCACAGTCAAGGTAAAGTTGAGCCTCTGGGAGGTAGGCAAGGATTTATGCCATATCACACACTGGTAGATGGTCATATTGTCTTCCAGAGAGGGCTTCAGCCTCAAGAAGCTAGTGACATTCTTATTGTCGGTGGTATAATTAGTGAAGACGCCCTCAGAAAGCTCCACATACTGGGGATCCTTCTGGGTCCACTTTTTCCATGTAATGGTAATGTTCAAGGGGTAGAACCCACTTGCCATACACGAAATAAGTTGTTCTTCATTTTCTTTCACCATGGCTTGCTCTGGAAACAAGCTGGGGACTGGGTAAGCTGCCAAGAGAGAGAAGTCATGTTTCAAGGGCAAGTAGGGACTAGTTTATTATCAGCCTAATGCCTGACCCACAGCAAGCAAGCCTTCAGGAAAGGTGAGCATACTGAATGGGATTCTGCTTAGGCTAAATATTCTGGATATGTTGGTTTCACTGTCAGCTGATATGCTGTGGTCCCCTACTCTCACAGCAATTTTATAGAGCAGAGTTTCTTAAGCTACTTTGTATCATACATAGACACCTTTGAGTATCTGCAAAAAGCCCTTGAACACCATTGTGGTAGAGACTACTAACAACCAATTTCCGTTCTTCCATGACATACCCCAGTTAAAGCTACATCTCTCAACCTCCGCATAGCCATGTGAACTTAGGGCCTCGTCATTTAGAGGTAGTCAGAAATGATGATAGCAACTTCCAGGAAGTATCCTTAAATAACAAGGACGCCTTAAAGAAAAGGACTGTGCCCTACTCTCCTCTCCCCCTTCCTCTTTCCTGCAGAATGGCTGGAATAGTGCTTGACGGCTAGAGAAGGAAAAGCCACTTCCAAACGTAAGGTGGCAGCTACCTGTGGAGAATGGCAAAGTAATAAGATAAAAGGATCCTAGGTCCCCTATAGTCACAGAACTGCCATAGCTACCTTGGGTTAGCTACACTTTGTAAAAGACAATAAACTACCTTTTTGAAAAGCCATTGTTGCCTTCTGTTTTCCCTTCTGAAATGTAAAGACTCTGAAAGCCATAACAAGAGAAGAGCTGAGCTGAACAAATGATAAACCAACAAGTTTTCTTAGCTCTATGAGAGAATGAAGGTGACGGGGCACCCCAAAAACTAGAGACAGGCAGACTGAGAGAATCACAGCCAAGATTGTGTCACCTTGAGCAGATGCCAGAGCCATAAACCAGTAGAGGCACTTAAGCAGCGACTCTCACCAACTGCTAAAGGATGAGGATGGACTGATTGCTGTGGGCCCAGTCTCACGGGGATCACCACACTTTCATGCGCTTTACTGCCAGGAAACCCACACTGGTTCTCACAGTGAAGATTCAAGAAAAATCCCCTCCTATTTTCAGGGGAGAGGAAAAGTAACTAAAAATATACCCAGTGCATTAACCACATAAAGGATGCTCAAGAGAAAAGACTTTGCCAGAGCCTTCTAAGACCTGGGTAAAGGATGATCAGCCAACTCGAGCCTGCTCTAGCCTTCCGGTGTCACCTACAAAAGCTTCTGAAGGTCACAGCCTAGGGGCTCGGAGCTCAAATTCAAGATTGAGATTTAATGGTAAGATTGACTGCTTCCCCTCTGCAACCCATTGTCACCACAGCAACAGGGCTCCGGGTGATATTATTAGATGAAAACTGAGAGGGCTGCAAGGCACACTCTGTTTAAAGAGGGAAACTCTTAAGAAAACAGGTTGCCAGTAATGAGGACCTGCCAGTTCTGATGGGAAATCCTTACAAGGAGCTTCTTAAAAATGTATCTTGTGTGGAAAATGTGTAGATTATAAGAATGCACAGTTTTTGTCCCAGTTTATTTCTGCATTTACTGGATGCATTTATGGAAGGCACATAAGTCTGTGAGAGAAAGCAGAAAGAAATCACAAAAGCAATGAAGAGAGCTCAGATAATGGGGTTTATGCCAGGTACAGACAAAGATCCTGCATATCTCAAAGACCCTGAAGTTTGTAACATCAAGTATCAGCAGTAAATTATATGTTTTATCATCAATAAACATATTTTTTAATTTAAAAAAAAAAGAGGGGGAGACAAAAAGAAAAGAAGCAAAGAACAAGTACACCAAGTAGAATGGTACATACTAATCCTGATAGGTCCCCCCAAAAATGGGTCCGTGATTAAAGGAGTGAGACTGATATAAAGCGAAGGTCAAGCAAAGCTTTACTCCGCGCCAAGCATCAAGAATCAGACCAAATGTTCGGGCCACACCTCTTACAAGAAAGGGCGAACTTTCTCTGTTTCACAGACTAGCTTTTAAGGGCAAAGGCCATGCGGTTGGGCCTGGCCACGCACAGGTGGCCAATGAAATTGTAATACACAGAGAAAGGTGCACAGTGATGCTAGGTGACCAATTGAATTACAATTTACCCTAGAGTAGACATTTGACCTAGCCAATCACCTTGGTTAGAATTGGCGCTCAAAAGTCTCCCAAAGGGCGGGGCCCATACTCCTTGGTAGCTAGGGAGACAGTATGCAACCCCCCCCCACTGATCAGCCCCCCACCTGGCCTGACCCACCCTTGTATCTGGGCTTTGTTACCTGGGGCTGGTTTCTGGGACTTGTTTTTAAGTAAGTCCCCTGGGGGAAGGGGAGCAGGGACAGTTTAAGGGTTAAACAACAAGGTTATTGTTTAACCTGGATGGAAGCCTCTGGTTAAATAGGTCCTTACAATCCAACTGTATGATGAGGGAACAGAAAGCAAGCTGAGGACAAAGCAGAAGCTGACACCCCACAATCCTCCCCTCATGGGGTATGTGTCACATTCCTCAGGCACTCCTGGCTGTCCTAAAGCTAAGGGAAAGAAAAACAAAATAGAAATCACAATACTGCAAGACATGAGTCTCCTGCAGTTTACAAATGTCTTGTGGTCTACAAGAGCAAAACATTTCCTTTTTTTTTTTTAATGTTTTATTTATTTATTTGAGAGACAGTGAGAGAGAAAGCACAGAGGCAGACGAACAGGGAGAAGCAGACCTCTCCTGAGCAGAGAGCCCCATGCTAGGCTCCGTCCCAGGACCTTGAGATCAGGACCTGAGTCAAAGGCAGATGCTTAACTGACTGAGCCACCCAAGCTCCCTGAGAACAAAGCATTTCTATCAATAACCTAGCTTCCAGAAGGAAATGTAGATACAACTAAATGTCCTTATAATCTGCAGCCCATTGAGAGATACCTGAAGTGGGCAGAGTATAATGTTCCTCTGGCAAATTCCCAACTATCTTCATGTTAAGGAGTGCTAGAAGGAGAACCATCTTAACTTGACAATGGCAAGGCCTCTGGTATCCTGTGAATTTTCTTTAACATATGAAAGATCTTTCTTGAAACCTCCCTTTTTCCTTACCTCCCCCAACCCATGGTTTATAATCAGCTGCTACTCACAATCCTGAGGCAGTAGCTCTTTCTGCCCACAGGTACTGTCCCCATGCTTTAATAAACCACCATTTTACACCAAAGACGCCTCAAGAATTCTTTCTGGGTCACTGGCTCCAGACCTCAACCCATCAAACCTCATCTATATTCCAAAACCACATCATATATACCTAATCACTTTAAATGAATGGTCTAAACACATCAAGACAGAGACAGGGGAGGGGGGTGCTGTCGCAGGAACTGGGCACCTGGGTGACTCAGTCAGTTGAGCGGCTGCCTTCCTGCTCAGGTCATGATCCCAGGGTCCAGGGATCAAACCCCAAATATCTGCTCAGCAGGGCATCTGCTTCTCCGTTTCCCTCTGCCCCTCCCCTCCCCTCCACTTGGCTCTCTCTCTCTCTCTCTCATTCACTCAAATAAATAAAATCTTAAAAAAAAAAAAAGAAAAAAAAAGAATGTCAAAATACATGAGGCAAAACCTGAAAGAACTACAAGGAGAAACAGACAAATCCATAATTATAGTTGGAGATTTTGAGACTCATCTTTTGTCAACAGAAAGACCAGCAGGCAGAAGAGCAGTAAGAAAATAGTGGAAAGGAACATTACCACCAATCACCTGGATCAAATTATCAACAGGATACTCTACCCAACAGCAGTATATACATTCTTCCCAAGCTCACATGGAACATTCACCAAGATGAAGTGCCTTCTAGCTCATAGAACACATTTTTAACGTTTTTAAAGAATAGGAATCAGGCAGGATATGTTCTCAGACCACAATAGAGTTAAACTAGACATCGATAAGCAAAAGGATGGCTGGAAAAATTCCAAATTTCTTGGAGAATAAATCACGTCTGGTCTAAATAATATATGGGTCAAAGAAAAAGTCTCAAGAGAAATTTTAAAATATTTTGAACTAAATGAAGTTAAAATGAGAATACCACTCATGAAAATTTGTGGATGCAACAAGAGAAATAGAGGAAATGTATAGCATTGAATATAAATTTTATTAAAGAGGAAAGATATAACGTCAACTATCTTAATTAATAAGTTTCCACCTTCAGAAGCTAGATGAGGAAGAGCCATTTAAGATTAAAACAAGCCGAAGAAATGAAATAACAAAAATTAGAGCAGAAATCAGTGAAGTTGAACCAATGGAGAAAATAAATGAAACCAAAAACTGGTGCTTTGAAATGATTACTAAAATTGATAAGCTTCTGGGTAAATTAAGGAAAAAAGAGAGAAGACAAAAATTACTAATATCATAAATGAAAGAGGCATCACTACTGATACTATGAAAAAAAGAATAACAAAGAAATCGTATGAGGAACATTGAACTCACATATTTGATAACTTAAATATAATGGATCAATTCCTTGAAAGACACAAATTACCGAGATTCACACAAGAAAAAATAGGTAAGTTGATGGGCGCCTAGGTGGCTCACTCAGATGGTGAAGTGTCTGCCTTCAGCTCAGGGAGCGATCCCGGGGTTCCGGGATCCACTTCCGTATTGAGCTCCCTGCTCAGCAGGGATCTTGCTTCTCCCTCTGCCTCTGCCCGTTTCTCTATCATGAATAAATCAATAAAGAAAGAAAAAATAGATGATTTTTTTTTTAAATACTTGACTTGGAGCTGCCAGAATTGACAATTTATATTCTTTTTTTTTTTTTAAGATTTTATTTATTTATTTGACAGATCACAAGTAGGCAGAGAGGCAGGCAGAGAGAGAGGAGGAAGCAGGCCCCCTGCTGAGCAGAGAGCCCGATGTGGGGCTCGATCCCAGGACCCTGAGATCATGACCTGAGCGGATGACAGAGGCTTAACCCACTGCATCTATTAAAGAAACTGAATCAATAATTAATAACCTTTAAAAAAAGAAAGCATCAGGCCCAGATGGT